AGGGTCCTGAGCAAGACCCGGAGGGGCGTGGATTTGGGAGCGGAGGAGCTGGTTCGTACGAGTGGAAGCCAGCAGAGGTGCCGCTGGGGGCGGGGCCTTGGCCGCATGTGAAAAGGAGACCAGAACATCCCCCGTGGACAGAGTGAGAATCTCCCCTGGGGGCTTTGAGACCGCTCCGACTTGCCAGCAGAGGCCGTGGCTGTCGCTGCGTACCGGTTGCAATGGCTTGGCCCGCCATTTCCATTGGTTGAGAGCCTTCTGAAGACCAGCTCTCTGAGTGCCGAAAGGCAAAGGGTACAGGTGATAGATCTCCTGGATGTCGAGCGGAACGAAATCCTCACCGGGTCGGAGTAGTTTGTGCGCTTCGGGCAGGTCCGTTGCAAGGAACCGCAACCCAATCTTGGAGCCGAAGCGGGCCAGACCAAGTGCGCCTTTGACTGACGATCGCTTGCACAGGATTTCGGACAGGGTAGCGCCAGGAAGCCAAATGACTCCAAAGCGTGAGTCCGGCGAGCGATCATCCCTGGGTTCGATGAAGATGCCAGAGGCCCCGGAGACGGACAAGAGCACCGTGCAGGCCGATTTGGGGATCCGTGCCATGATGGACCATGTGGTGCTGTCTTCTGGCTTAGCCTTGGAGCCAAGGTTATGGAACTGCCTGGCCCAGAGATCCAGTATCAGAGGAGTGACCTCATCGACAGGAGGGTGGTACATCGGGCATTGGTCTCCGCAGCTGTTGAGGCGGCACGTGCGGAAGAGCGGTTGGACCACCTGGAGCTGTCGAACCGGACTCTTGACAAAGGCTTGCCAATCGCCAGGCAAGGCATCCTTGTATACCACAATCCGGACTGATTGGGTAGGAGTACGCTCAACTTGAAGGCTGGCATTCAAGTGTCTGGCGATTTGGCCCGTGCCGAGCTGGATGAGTGAGCCACTGACGAGGACTGACTCCTTTGTGGTGCAGTGGTGTGCCGGAAAGCGAAGATCCACAATCGGCAAATTGCCGCGGGCATCAGTTGGCACCGGAGTTGTGGAGAGAAGGGCCAGTGGTTTCGTAGCAATGGCCTTGTCCTGTTGAAGGAAGGGGAGTGCCTCCTGCACAGTGCAAAAGGCAATGCCTTGCTGGTCCGGACCGACCTGCCTGAACGGTAGCATCGTAGCGATGGACCCATCTGAACACTTGAAAGTGTCCGGGACGAGGGCAAGTTGCTGTGGGTCAGGAAGAACCAGGGCCGGCATGTTCCTGCCTGTTTTGTCAGGCTTGGCTTTGCGATTCGAGGGCTGAATCCTGAACTGCGACTGTGCTGAGGTGCGTATTTTCGCCTCCAATTCGTCGTGCTTGATCCACATGAAGGCTACCTTCGAGGCAACAGCCTTGAGATGGGCCCAAGGGTTTTTACCTGCGAGGGCTTGTGTGATCTCTGCTGGGGGCAGGTGTCGGAGTGCAAGGTCGATCCTTTCTTCCACCTTGTCATCGGGAACGCCCTTGTCCACCAAGAGGGCGGAGAGTGTTTGCCGGGCCGGATTTGTGAGCGGGCCACAGCCGAAGGGACCAAAGCCGTGAAAGGAGGCCTGGAGCAAAGTTGTCAGGCCGACGGGGTCCTCAGTGAAGCCCGAGCCATCCAGGCCAAGAGCAACCGCCAGATGAGCTAGCATGACACATCCACAGGTGGTGGATTCAAACTGTTGGAAGTGGCGGCGCATCGTGATCAATGGCATTGGCAGCTGCCAGAAGCGTGCCAGCATGGAGACAAGCTGAGTAGCTTCCGAAAGTGGCACCGAGAAAAGGCCGTCGTAACAGAGAGCCTCGAGCTGGTTCTCATCAAGTCGTAGATGAATCAAGCACCAGTGGCCCTGTGCCGCGAGCGGGATGAGACATTCCCTGGGTGGACTGGTTGGGATGGCTACAATGCCAGCATTGTGCAGCACAGCATGGGCTGTCCAGGGATTGATGATGAGAGGACTCCGTGGTGAGTAGTCCTGCAGGAGAAGGGAAACTGACCAAATGTGGGAGGCTGCAAGGCCCGGTTGGTGGGTGGTAGAGAGATGGGTAGTGGTAGTGGGCAGCCCAAAGCCAATGGGGTCGTAGAGGAGAAAGATGCCGGATGTCCACAAACGCTGGTCAGCCGGTTGCTTGCTGCCATCCAGTGAGTAGATCGGGATGCCGTAATGCCACTGTGGGAAATCCCAAAGTAGCTGGAAGAGGAAAGTGCCAGCAGGCACACAGTGCACGAAGGGGCCATGCCCAGTGAGGATCTGAACGCAGAGCGACGAGGGCGGCTGTGGCAAGCTGGCCTTCTTGGTCTGCAAGACCAGGTTGTAAGGCCCATGCCTGCCCTGCGCATGAAGGATGGCCTCCTGTGAGAGCACGTGCTGGCCATCGATGACCCTTGGGATTGTCCCCCAGGGTCGCCATTTGTGCTCAGCCTGGAGCAGGTTTGCAAGTTGTAGTAGCCCAGTCCTTGAGGTAGGGATGGGTGTGCCCTCGTGGTGAATGCAGATGGGCGCATCATTGTGTGAGGCCTGTAGAGGCCAGAGATGGTGCCGATCAAAGAGCAGGTGCTGCTGGAAGTCCCTGAGGGCATGCTCAGGGGAGGGTAGTACACTCCTGCTGGGAGCTTCATCGACGGCAAAAGCCTGGAGGAGATGGCCGATGACCCAAAGTGCCTGCAGGGGTGATGCCACCTGTCCCAGCAAGCAGAGACTGAGGAAGGGGTCATCACACAGGCGAAGTTGGGCTGGTATGGCCAAGAGGAGAGCCATCTCCTTTGGGTGCAAGTATCTGAGTTGATCCAAAGCCTGAGAAAGGACAAGGATGCCCCGAAGACCGCCGGTGCGAAGCCTGTGCAGGGTAAAGGGACCTGTGCGGCAACCACAGGGGCATGCCGAGAAGGCACATCCATAGGAGTGGAGGAGTGTGGGGCAGAGGCCCGTAAGCACAAGTTGCCGTTGATCGCTGCCGAAATCCGGGTCCTGAAAACACTGCAAGGCAAACTCCGAGGGGACCAAGCTGGTTTCCACATCACGGGTCCAAGTGGGCCATTCAGGGATGGCCGATCGAACCTGCTGAAACTCATCATCAATTGGCCATGGAACCAACAGGGAGAGGTCCAGCCGGAGGGGTGCCAACACCACCCACCACCTAGAACGGCGAGAGGGCCATTGGTGGTGCAAATGCAAGACCACGTCCTTGATCTGAAAACCCATAGCTGATGCCAATTGCAAAAGTGCGGTCTGTACTCCTGTGCAAAGTTTAGCACCTGGGACACATTCGAGGATGAGACCACGCGCCTGCATGCAATAAGCACTCCTGAGAATACCCAAAAAGGCCAAACTGCGACTGTCCGACATGGCGCGTCCATCGCCCTGCGTTGAAAAAGGCTGGCAAGGAAATCCGGCAGCGAGAAAAGCCGGGAGTTCCGGGTGTACCTCGTGCAAAGCATGGGTGGCCTTCCAGTCGGTGATGTCCATCTCCAACACACAGGGTGAGTGGTTTGCCCTCAAAACCTCACAGCAGTGGTGGTTCTTGTCCAACTGGGCCAGGACCCGGGCTCCGAAGGGCAGGGCACCAATGCCGATGCAGCCAATGCCCGCACAAGCCTCCTTCAGATACCTTCCTGTATTGTCCTGAACTGCATGGTGAACAAGTCGGGTGTGCCTATCTGGTGAAAGGGTCGGTCTGTCATCCTTCAAGAACACCGGGACAAAGTAGATCGTTGCAGTCTCTCCCACAAGAAGCAGATCTTCCGGGATCCCAATGTGCTGAAGGGAGTGCATCACCACCGCGGTGTTCACCCCAATGCCCCTGATGGCGCCCGAAAACCTGGAGCCCACCGACGGGTTGTCCAGCCAACAGATGCGATCCGCATGGGCCATGGCACGGTGAACCACACTCTGGCGTTCGGCTGACGTAGGCTCACCAGCTGACAGGGGCCAGAGCTCGAGCCTCCTTGAGCCAAAATGGCTACGGAAATGGAAAACATGTTTCCCAACGACAGCCATGACAGTAAGTAAACCCAAACCATCTTGAAGCAGTTCGACACACGATTGTCTCAAAATTATTTGATGCACAACGGTCGACCGGAAAAGAAAAAACGAAACTGGGGTCACCCAACACAGGGGGTCTGGTAAGCCGGAAAACAGGTTTGTTCACGGATGTTTCAAGCCTTTAGCCCACCAAAAGAAAGCAATGGTAGGGAAATCGTGAAACAATGATGAACCCATGGTTTGTAGGGATTCAATGATGAACCAATGGTGCAACGTCGGCAAAGTCTCAAGAATGGAAACATGGGTACGGGTCCAAAGTACCCCACCAGGAGACTGTGGATTTTAGTCCTTGGTTCCATTTACTAATTTAACTATCAGGATTCCTTTTTGGGCAATCACTTCTTCCTGTTAATCAACCTACCCTCAAAAAAGAAAACTCAGCGGCGCCAAAAATCGCAAATACTACATTTACATTAGCCAATACTAAACTAATACTAAACGCCTGATACCACACATGTTTTCGACCAAGCTCTCAAAATCTTATAAGGGCCCCCGTCCATAATGTGTTGAAACAAGAAGGTTGCAAGCTAAGTGTTTCGAGCCGGAGCTCCGGGAGTGCGTTTCCTGTACTAGGCTTGTACTACGAAGTTGCGAAATTCGAGCCAGATGCGTTTCCTGTACCAGGCTTGTACTAGAAAGTTGCGACTTTCGAGCCGGAGCTCCGGGAGTGCCTTTCCTGTACTAGGCAAAAACCGGCGACCCTTAATAATAGAACTCCCTCCGAGTTGTTTTATTTTTTGTGACGGGGGGGGATGCTTTGTTTCTTAGGGAGAAGGGATTACCCCTTTTTGGCCCATAGCCACATGGAAAACACATACCTGGTTAGCCAAGTTGCTGTTCTTTTTCAGTCACTGTTGCTGGTTTTTGAGTAAAGTGCATGGACAAAAAAGCGATCGCAACTGGCGATCCAGGTAGGTTTCACACGGGGGTGGATCCTCATCTCCAGTCCGCGCCTTGTCTCCGATCTCAGCCCTGATCCTTTGCTCGTCTTCCGGCTCCTTGCGAGTGAGAAAAGCCAATGCCCACAAGCTTGACGTCGCTTTGGGGCAAAAAAGGGGACCCCAACAATTCAAGGCGGCTTCCTTTTTGGTGGCCCTCCAAAAAACACAAACACCAAAACTAGGTCCAGCGGCTTCCTTTTTGGCTGCCCTCCAAAAAACACAAACACCAAAACTAGGCCCAGTAGAGAGGCTAGAATCAGGGCACCAACTTTTCTGCAGCCTCTCCCCCCATGCGGAGCTTCGGCCCAATCCTTTGGGCTGCTTGAGCAACACACTCCAAGACCTTGCGGTCATGAGAGATGGCTCAGCACCAAGAAGGGTATCCGATTTTTTCTGGTTGGTCTATTTTAGTAGGGGAACCCTCCAGTAGAAAAAGGGGTAAAAAGGGCACGATCCTGGGGGACCTAGCAATTGACAGGGACCCCCCCGGGCGAATTCTTTTTTGGGGGGGAACACGAAGGCCACTTTCTGCGCGTTTTTTCTCGTTGAGCTCCTTGCAGCTCGCCCGGCAAATGCCCTCGAAGCCGTGCCGCAGTTGCTGGCACTCCACGGTCCGCGCCTGCCGACGCGTTGGATGCGTTGGGATGCGTTCCCCTGTCAAACCAACCAGGACAATACAACTTATTGACACTTCCATAGTGGAAGCACAAAAGACCCCGGCACAAAAGCAAAAACCACTATGACTTCAGGGGGTCTGCTCTTTCTTGTTGGGTAGAGCAAAGCAGTCATGCATGCTAAATTCAGCCCCACAAAATGTCAAGATTTAAACTTGTCAAGCTCCTAAAGTTGCAACTCGTAAATAGCAGTACTTGTATGAAACATATATCTACAAAAAAATGAGTACGGTGCGTCAGTGTGTTAAAAAAACTTGATGGAGCAGAAATTAGACGCTCAAAAAACGTGGTCCAGCAAAAATATGACAGACTCTCACATGCTCCAAAAATCAAAAACAAAAACTCCCAACGGAATTGGGTGTTTGCGCTTTTGGGGCAACAGCATGCAATTTCCAAACTCTGAGCCAGAGGTGTGGTAAGTTGTCAAAAATGTGTTCGAGGACAACGTGTGGATTACCAACCTTAATTTACCTTGTGCTGTAGATTTAGATGTAGTACATGTGGCCATCTAGGAAAAATGCAACCTGAGGAAGTATTTCTAGGCAGGCTTGTCACAATTGTCGGAGAGAATGCCTCTCTAGCTCTGGCAGTGAACTGTGTCTTCATAAGAAGAAGATGGGATCGCGTCCTAGGTGTACTACATCTAGAGGCGCAGCACGAGGTAAATCAAGGTTGGCACCCCACAATTTTCCTCGAAAAATGTTTTGACAACTTACCACACCTCTGGCTCAGAGTTGGAAATTGGCGCTCCCAAAAACGCCGAACACCCAATTATCAGGCCCCTAAGCAAAGGAAACCAAAGTGGTCAAAACCAACAACCCGACCACACCCAAGGCCGCCAATCAGGGCCAAAACGAGCCTAACCACACTAGTGCACCAAAGGCAAGACCAACAAGGGTTAAGAAACACCTTCTTTCAATAACCAAAAATTGAATCCGGTCAAGACTCTGGATTCAGACCACCATTTCTCATTCCCCATCAAATGTTTAAGAAATACTCCAGACCCTAGTCAAAACACACGGCTTTCTTAACATACCGATCGACCGTATGTTAAAACTGATAAGTATACATGCGTATATATACTTTGTTGCTGTTGACCCCTCTGCCAAAAGTTCAACTTTCTGTGGGTGTAGTGGAACCCCCCTTCATTTCCCAAAAGCTCAAAGTCTAAGCATCCGTTGCCCAATAGCAGTCAAGTATATGTTTATACATATATATATATATATATAATGGTCTCTCCTTGTGGATCAAAAGCAGGGCTGTGGGGAATGAGCACTTCTGTGATACAACAGAAAGGGCCTAACCCCAAAGACTCTTTTCTTCATATAACGGGGGATTCCCGAAAAGTATCACAGAAGTGGTTGGAGAAACCCCTTGCGATCCACCACAACGATCGAACGCGGCAGCTCATTGGCCTCCCACATGATGCGATCCAGCTCTGCCAGCAGGAAGAAGATCATCACCTCCAGCCGCGGTTTTTCGGTTTCGGTTTCCATGGCTTCAGCTCGGTGGCGGAGATCTGCGCCGCTACAAGTGGCGACTCACCTTTAGCGGTTTAATACGGAGAAAACCCATCAAATAATTGGAAAAAACACATAAATTGTCCTAAGAGCCAAGCAAAATGCACCAAAGTCAGGGTACGTTTGCGAGAAAAAGATCGAAACTGGCCAAAAGAGGGCACCCATGCCAATTTGCACGGTTCAAACCAAGTGGAAGAAGAAACCATCATTGGACCGGAAATCACTTCACCAAACCGAATGGCTCCTCAGATTTCACCAAACCCGCGTGGAGGTGTTTCTTTTTCTTGGCAGGGACCCCCAGGAACCCACCGAAATGGCGCTTTTCGGGTGTCCCTTTAAGGCTTCCCCCCCCCAAAAAAAAAAACACTCTCAGCCGCTTCCTATGGGGACCCAGAAAAGGTGAACACCTTTTGGGGTGACCATGAAAGGGGAACCCGAAAAGGAAAAGGTCAGAAGGTCCAAAGGTCAAAAGGTCGATTCGCTTCGGGCAAGTGAACACTTTCACTTCTTTTTTTCCCGATGTCCTTCAGGTTCCCTTAAACCACCCAAACAAACAGGGCACCAACCCAACAAAAAAAGGACGAGGCCCCCACTTGAGTCACAATCAAAAGCCGGTATTAAAATGGTCTACCCAGAACCATGTGGAGAATTAAGAGGGCGGCCGCAACTATTTCGGGCTGGGACTGCCCTTTACTCACCTTCATCAGCCCGGGTCTTGATTGTGGCGTATTTCTGCCGCCCAGGCAAGGGTTCCTGGAAAACCAATTAACTTGTCCGTGGACCCCAAATCCGCCTAGGAAAAACCGTCATGTCTCCACCAAAAAAAACCTTGACTTTTCAAGGGAGCCTTTGTGGGATTGTTGAAGGGGGACCGCACCTCCGATTTTTTCCGAGTTCCCTGAACCCTTGCACAGAGGGGCCAGCAGCGGGAAGAAGGTCATCACCTCCGACCAGACCTTCGAGGTCGGCCGCAGCCGCTTGGAGTGCTCCTCTGAACGCCAGACCTCGACGACTCGAGCTCTGCGAAAAAACAAATTCGCGAAGAGCTGCGAGCAAATGGCCAAGCAGATTTGAACAACCTCTTGAACAACCAGGATAACTGGGGGTCCAACTGGAAGGTTCAGTCTGGGGTTCCAGCTGAATCCCTGAAGTGGAAGCTCCCATGGGTGACCCATCCGTGGCGGGCCGCCCCAGGTGCGCTTTGCAACCTGCGGCCATCCCATGTAGAGGACCTGTTGATGATCAACCCACCAAATATTTGGATCCCAATCTTTCAGATCGCTGTGAAAGATAGAAAGTACCCAAAAGATACTTAACATCAAATTGAACATACGCTAATAACAATCATTAATGACATTAAATGAGTCTTCCAAGTGAGTTCATACCTTCAGGCTAGGTAGACGAAGGGATCATTATCTGAAAGTGTTGCCCGCTGTGTACAGATTTGGACCAAGGCAAATGTTGCGAACGAGCAACTGTTTGAATGCCGCCGCATGCTCGAAGAAAACAACTCTTGGTTGACTCACTTCCCGAGTCCTAGACATTACTTGTTTTTGGAAAGACGAGTTTCATTGTATTGTAAAATAACAGTTTGGTTACTTTTCTTGGCCAACCCACTCAGGAATCAGCCTAGGCTCACTTCCCGAGTGGATCGGCAAAACAAAAAACAAACAACTTTTGGTATCTTCAACTAAATGACTAAAAGTCCATGAGACAAAAAAAACTCTTTTTGTTTACCAAAAAGTCTAAGGTCCATGAACTCACGGTGTAAATGTTAGAGATTCCACCTCGGAAGCAAGCCCCGGGACTCTGATGGAAACGGGCGAGTTTCGCCAGCCCAGTGACCTGTGGAGACAGGGATTCAGCTTCCCTCGGAAAGGGTGATCGGTGGCTTGGTTAAAGGGGAGTTGCCCTCTAGAAGCAGGGCTTCAAATCCCGAAAGCACCAATCCAAACCAACAAGAGGGAAGCTGAAACTACTTGAAAGTGTCTTGGACAGGAAAAAAACAATTCACACATGCATACGGAAGTGAGAGAGAGAGAAAGGGCAAGCACAGCGGAATCCAAAAGAATAGCAAGCACATGCAAGAACATGGATGTGCATCAAAACTCTGATCCATTCCTTTTGGCTTTCCTAAGCAGCTAAAAGACGTCACACGAAAGGTCACCGGGGACACCTTAAAGAAACAAGACACCTACTAAATCCTACTACACCACCATCAAAACACCCATACAATGCAAGAACTCACTATCGGAACAGTTCGACTTGAAAGACTCCGACTGGGTCACCTTCTCACCGCCACTGTCATACCATCACCAGACGCAGTTTCACCAAGACAGAGACGCCGGACACATCCCAAACACCAGACACATTTCAACACCGCTGGTTGACATTCCGATTAGACCCTGCAACTGGACGCAACAGCCAAAACAGAGTAAACAAACACACACACACACAAGAGAGAGAAAAGCTCTCACCCAAACACCGCCAGGACAACGGAGACACCACCTAGACACAACTGGAACGCTGGTAGTCTGGTGGTAACACATTCTGAGAATTTGATCATGTTCAGGCTCTGTCCTCGCACTCAAACGGGCGCAAGCCTTCACCTTCATATAAAGCTGCGACAATTGTTCCTTCCAAATCAGCAGAAGCAACTATACTTTCAGGACGGCTGTACAAATGGCTGCTCCAAAAACAAGCTACGCACAATATCACCTTAGGGAAACCAAGAAGGATCCGCCTGCGCTTTGCCCCAGCTGTTCAATTTTGAGCCACACCCACGGCAAGACTCGGCCACTTCAAACCTGGCCGTGCCGCGAGGTTCAGAGCGGTGGCCAGGGCGAAACCAATGTGGTCCGCAGCAACTCTCCTAACCAACGATCGGACGAACGGGATAGACGGGATCGATCCGACTGTTCAGAGGTCAGGTAACTGTTGCCTTGCTCTGATTTACAGTTGAGCTATGGTTGTGGTGGCCAAAAATAATGGTACCCAAATGGGATCCATGTTGAGAAAAGGTCAGGCAACTCCTTTGCTCTGTTTAGTCGGAGATATGGCTGTGGTTGTCAAAAGAAGGGTAACTTCAAATGAAACGCTGGTATATGCAGCCAAGGACGAAAAAAACCTGCGGTCCATATCCTGGAGGTTCAATATTGACCCATATTGGGCAACTTGGCCCTCTGTGAGACGTGTAGGCTGATCTCTTGGTGACTCGCTCCATTTTGAGGCCCTTGGCTCGTTCCCGCGATGTGGATGGCTTAAGTTTGTCAGTTGCCTGGTTCACTCTGTTCTTTTTTTATATGACTGGTCATATCAGGTCAGCAAGTCCTTTAGCGGAATTGTCCTACTTACCTGATGGCAAAGAACCAGGGTTAACCATTCTTAGGACCCGTATGATCCCTTGATGTGACACCCGTTCTTATTTGATTTAGAACATGCACTAGCATGGTCTCAACCACTCAAAAACCCTCTAAACTCCGCTCTCTAAAGCCAAAGAACTTCACTCTAAGCCGCTCTCATCATTCAAAGCCTGTTGAGAAAGCTTGTGATGCATTGCAAAACATTGGGAGACGAGCAAACAGGGGGGTCTTTTTGCCACCTATTGTGGAAAATTGTTCGACCCCCTCGTAGTGAAGGATTCCTGTTTAAGGGGGGCGTCAATTTTCTCACAAAAGGTGGCAGAAAGTGACCCTGCGAGCAAACACGCAAGTTTTCAACAAAAGTTTCCGTAGATCAACCCGCCAATGGCTCCAAAACCAGAAAATGTCGACCATTTTTGGGCGGTCGCATTGCAACCCTTGCTTTTGACCTTTTTGGGGACTGTACACAGTCATCGGAAAATGATGCGCTTCGTGAGGGGTGCTTATTTTGCTGCCAATTTGCAAGCTTAGAGCTCACATCAAGGTGGTCACACCTTCTTCCCCTGACATTTGACCCTCTTTGGTGAAAAGTAAAGACATCCCTCCAGTGTAGGAACCGTTGCGAGGGCCTCCCTTACTTTTATAAAAAGTAAAGCTTTGCTACCAAGACCAAGCATTATCCAGAAGCTTATTTGAGGGCCAACATACCAAGAATCGATTTGTGAGATACATTGAAAGCAAATTCGGTCATGAGCATAGCAGAAAAAGTGAAGAAAGTAAATTAATAGTCCCTCACATTCAACGTATTGTCTTGGCCACTCGGCTCACCAAGCAACCACGATATTGTGGTTGTACGTTTGCCACCGGAAGGTAAGGTGAGCATCAAGAAAAATCAGCCACACTGTGACTTACGAGCAATTTGCTCATTCAATCGGATAGCCTTAAACGGACAACCCTCAAAACGATTTCAGAGTGGAAGACGTAAATGAAGGATGTGTCTGAATAGAAACCAACTGGACACAAAGGAACAAAGCACAAACCTGGAGTTAGCAAACTGGCCAACATTGGAACTTGTATTTTTCCCCCGAATATTCCGATAGGTCTCCATTGTCTTAATATTAGGAAATGGAACACTCCTACGTATTCAATCGACATATCTACGTGGCTGTTGCTCGCAAACCTCCAATCTGATCATTTGCTCGTTGGCTTCTGTGGTAAGTGGCCATCCATTCCCGCTGGTGTGCGCTGGTTTGCTCATCCCGGCTCATCCATTAGATCCAGCTGGTGCGTTTGTCAGAGATGAGCGGAACTCCCTGGTACTTATATAACGACCCTTTTGGGGTCTCTTTGTGGCTCCGTCTGTGGGTGCTTGCATGGTTGGCCAAGTTGGTAAGTGGCTGGCCACTTGCGTTACCCCTTAACAACAAGGTTGACCCCACTGACCAGGGGGGACTCAAAAGTGAGCTATAACCGAACAGATACCAGCGACATGGTAACTTGGTGAACCGAACACCTAAGCACTTTGTTATGCGGGAAGAGGGGAAATCAAGAAACGTTTTCCATGGATCCAACCCTTTTGCGGGATCCCCAGTCTAAGACACGAACACCCAAGCGTTCCAAGTGCCCCATCCACCCCGAAAGGATCTCCAAGCGGCCACCTGCCCGCGGTGTTGGCCGATCCAAGGGCGGACAGGCACAGCGTCGCGAATATGAAGAGGTTCCTCAAAGCGGCAAGCTCAACCTGGGTCTTTGGGTGTTTTCTGTTTTTTCTACTACCATATCCATGTATATATATAACAGAAATGGCGTCATTTGTTGGTTTCATGTACTTGTTGCTTTGTTTGGTGTCTTGTTTGTTATTTTAATGATGTATATGTATATATGTGCTAGATCGATGATGGATATATGTCTTAGTTGCGTTTCATAGTTGTACTTGTTGCTTTGTCGTGTGTTGAGTTTATACGCTAGTTTAAACAAGGACAGACATGTTTGTATACCATTATAAGATCCGTTGAAGTTCATGAACCCCCATGACGCACTGATCGAAAAGAGTGAACATTGATTTGCTCAACGAGTTGAATAATAGCCCGATATTGGGCACACGCACACACACACACATCAGCAGATCGGCTGAAAGCCGTTCATGGCCGGTCAAACATAGGTGCTTGAAGGCAACACTCGTAACATGACCCTTTCGATTGCCCTTTCGATTGTGGTCAAGCAAACATTTTCTGCAAGCAACCTTGAGAACACTCCAAAAAGAAAAGCGTACGTATTGTAAGTGATTCAGATAAAAGGGTTCCTGATATGCCCTCTTGACACCTCACTAAAAGAACAACTATGTCAATACCGCTGGGGAAAAAGACAGAACACCGAAAACAAACTACAATAAATCACTTTACGGACCCGAGTGAAACAACCATGGGGCATATTCAGCCAGGCAAAAGCGCAACAATACGAATGGACTCAAGTACCACATCCATTCCACAAGATGTTTCAACATTCGCGCAGCCGAGAACAAAATGGAAACATCGCTGGACCCAGCCAAACCCGTTGAAGAGGTTGTCCAAGCACGAAGGAAGCACACAGGGCTCCCTATATTTCCCCTTTGAACATCACCCAACCAACAGGAAGGTCCTTTTAACTTGGCCCAAAAGGCGATGTCTAAAACCACCAAAAGGGGAAATACAGGGCGCCCTGCAAGTGTCCTGATTCCGTGGTCAAAGGATCCAAAACCTGTTAAAGCCTCAGGAAGGTGGTCGCCCCTTGGATTGACGCCTGACGCCGAAGGATCCGCCACCCTTCACAAAGGATCCGCCAAAGGGCAACCCCCCCTTGAAAAAACACGGGCAACAAGGCAAAGGAGGTCAAACTTGCATCAAAAACGAGCATGCGCCAAAACTTTGTAAGTCAAGCAGTTCTTGCGCATCTATGCCACGCAGAAGCCTTCAATGGACATTCCAAGGTAACTGGTGTTCATTTTGACATCCCATTTGTCCGGTTCCGACCTGTTGGAGCAAACAGGGCACCTTTATATACTTGTTTTGCTCATGCCATACCCAACCAGAAACAGCCGCAACTCGCAGCGGCGCCACGAGAAAAAGAAGTCCGGGCATGGATGGGTTTTATCTGGATGGATGGCATAAAACCCGGCTCTGAAACCCATGCGAGTCACTTGTAAATGGTGGTTTCCCTTTATTTTTGTGGAAAAAGCCATGTCTCAAATGGTTGCAAAATGTATCTTTTCAGGAGCCCTGCTCAAAGCCCTTTGTACAAAAATGGTCGTAATCCCAGAACCATGCTTCAAGAACTAAGAAGCCGGAATTCCGCAGCTATTTATGGCGATCGTCCCTTACTAACCTTCACTTACCCGGGTTTTGATTGTGGCTCATGTATTTCTAACCAAACTAACCGATCAAAAAGAGCACCTATGGTAAAGACACTAATAGGGTTATAGCTAGGGTAACTGGGCTTAGTTTCCTCTATAGCCATGGTTATCACCAAACTAACCGATCAACAGGACACCTGTGGGTCTGGCTCTTTGACCCGCCCAGTTTTGAATCCCAGATTCCTCAAAAAAGCCAACTTGTGGGCCTTGACAAACATGGAGACTCCAACCAGTGGCCTGCTTTCCCCATCTCCACCCCCTTACTGGGGATTGTACACCCAGACAAGCACAATAATAAACAAGTAACCCCACTTAGGGGAACTTATAAGTGGGGTAGAAAGTAGGTTGCCAACAGGTTCCGAAGGGGTGGGGGACACTGCCTGCAAGCAACTTGCGTGGGGCAGTGGTAGAAAGCTTCAAGCTTGCAAGAGTCATGCTCGAAGCATCATGATCCAAAACGGAGAACCCGAGAACCGGCAGGTACCTCCCAGAGTAAGTCCTTTCAGCTTTGGTTCGTGCAAAACTGGAACTCACCTCACATGGATGGCTGGTCTTTTTTTGAGGCTTACCCCTAAAAGGGATGGTTAAGGGAAGGACAACGCAAAGCATTTAAGAGGATATTCCCTACAGTCCCTACAGACGCAGCCACATGTGTCGAGGAACCACTTTGACTCCTGTTAATTTGGGGTCAGTTGGATGGTCATCAAAAACTGGGAGTTGAATCCTTAACCGTTATCATGATTCCAGTAAGCGAACCGTGATCCAAGCGGCCACATAATATCTTAAGGAGTTTTGACCAGTGGCTCACATGTGATGCTTTTTTGTTGGGTAGTTGAGAAGGCGGCGAAGGCACCCATACTTATGGTTGGGAGTGTCCCTTAGCCTTCATCTACCCGGGTTTTTGATTGTGACTCGTGTGGACCCTTCTTTCCCGAAATGGCGTGCTTGTCCTTTTGGTGTTCCTTTAAAAACCGCCCAAAACGTAAGCCCCCAAAAAAGACGAGCCAACCATGTGGATTCGAAGCCAGCTTTTCGGTGAGAGGTTCATGTTGGAGCCCCAAAGGAGGT